CGGTGGACGAGCTGGCCGCCGAGGCAGCAGCCCTGATCCCAGGGGAGCGGCTGCGTCGGGCGAGCGGGAGACAAAGCCGAGGCCCTCAGAGACCGTCCTCCACAGGGAGACCGTGCCCCACAGCCACAGCCTCGCTGCTCTGCGTTTTCCTCGTTCCAGGTCATCAGAGCCAACAGCAAAACCCCAAGCCCACAGCCCATCCCTCGGCACGAAGAGCCGAAGCTCAGCGGAAACACCGCGCCAGGTGCCCCGCAGTCTCAGTCCTCCGGGCGCTTCTTTGCGGCCGCCCTTATCTCCCAGCTCCGCCGCCATCCGCTTCGGCTGTCTGCATCGGGAACCCGGCCCGAGCCGAAACAAGACCCCCCTTATCTCCCAGCTCCGCCGCCATCCGCTTCGGCTGTCTGCATCAAGACACCGGCCAGAGCTCAAACAAGCCCCAGCAAATCACACCGCTGCCCTCCACGCGTTATAATCCAAACAGGTGAAAGAGAAGCGAGAGAAGGGGCAGGACGCCAAGCCAAGAGCAGCGGGCGCGCTGCCCGATACCCCGCAGCAGCTCCACGGCGGAACTGCGAAGCAGCGCAGGCGCCCGGCCAGGCGACCGCCCCGCTGCGTGCCAGCTCCCCCTCGAAGGGAGAAGAGGAGAGGAGCCATGGCCACGATTTCACGTGGTGTTCCAGGGAGGACGGGCTAACGGAGGCAACCTGAGCGAACCAGACAGCGTGGGCGCGGCGTGCCCCTACTCCTTCCCCGCACAGCCGCCCTCGGGGCGCGACACAAATGGTTTGCGACAGGGACCAGACACCTGCGCCGCTGGAGAGGCCGGATCCAGACGGACCGTCAGATGCAGGTGATAATAAAGCGTGGCGTTTAGACAGACACCAAAGCTCCTTGGGGGATCTCCCAAGCTGATAAGAGGGATCTCCCAAGCTGATAAGACTCAAGACCAAAGGTGGGAGGTTTCAGACGGAGCCAACACAACCCTTGTTCTCCCTGCACGTTGTTCTCGGCTTACTGGTTTTGTAGCCTCAACAGCATCCAGACTTGATTGACAGCGAGGACACGGGGACAGAGCGGTGACGCAAGACCAGAAGGACCAAGAGGCCCTTCCGCTGGCAAGCTCGGTCACCATCCTGCACCGGCGACGCTCACTGGGGCCGCAGTGTGAACTGGGACTGACTCCCAGTTTGTTTCCCAGCAGGGGAAGGACACGTCAGACGGGCCAGGGTACCTTGAAGACCTTGATCTGGCAGCTGGCAGAGTGCAGGTGCTCCGTGTACTCCCCGTTCTCGTTCTCCTTAAACGTGTCTATCTGGACCCGAAAGGGTACCCCCTTCTCCCCGCCGTGCTTCCGCATGGTGAACTCCGTGCTGATGCAGTGGACCTGGGGGGAGGCAAGGCACCCCGCGGTCAGCGATTCGGCCGCGTCCGGCTGCCCACCAGCTTCCCACTCCCCTCGCGGGAGCCGGGACAGCGCTGATGGAACGGGCAACCTGGTGAGAAGGGCGAAATGCAGAGCTGGGACGGGAGCTCCCCGAGTACCCCCAGCGCTAAGGAGTTAAGCGGACGCCACGGCAGAGGTGGAGCCGCATTCTTCCAAGTTTTGCAACCTCTGATGTTACAGAAAAGCGCCGGATCAGCAGGGCAGAGGCCTCGGGCGCTGCAGCCTGTTTATTCTAGGCGGGAGGGCCAGATTTCCGAGCAGCGTTTTACGTTTAGGCAGCTGTCAAGATGCCCAAAAGCATCTGAACGAGATGGGAGACCCCAAATCCCAAAAGCAGCGGGAGCTAAACCACCGCAAAAACGTGGAAAACAACTTAGTGGTGGTCAACTGTGCCTTGTGAACGCACAAACTGCTGCTCTCTCGCACTGCTTGAGGGGAGTGGGCTGTATTTTGGCTGACATCCTTCTACCACCGTAGCACCTGGCTGCTATTTCAGAGCTCTGAGTCAAAAAAGCGTCTCCTTCCCCCTTGGAAAACTTGTTTTTTCCCCTAGATCCACGCAACAGGAGCTGCCCCGCTCCTCCTCTTTCACCTGGATGAACACAGAAGTCCTCTTCGAAGGATCCCACAGAAACTCCACTGTGTTGAGCTGCGTTGGGTTTGCTCTGGGGTCAATGATGCCCACCGACATCGGGATATCTGCAGGGGCACACCCGGAGAACACGCTGCCGTTTGCAGCAGAAGGAAGAGATCCACAGGGAAGAACCAACCGCGTCGCTCAAAGCGCAGAAGCGTGAACAGCGCTTTGTCCCTTCCCAAGGGACCGGGAGCCCGGCTGGAGGCACTTCGGGCATCTCCTCCAGCCCCAGCCCAGGGGCTGCCGCGGGGACTCACCTATGTCCAGGATCCTGTCCCCAGGCCTGTTCCACCGCCAGCCCTCCAGCTGCTGGTGCTCCGTGTACTGCAGCCGCCGGTAG